ACGCTCCCAAGTAAAATACCACTAACTTAGGTTAAATATCTATTTCTGGACCAATTCATCAGCAAATTTGAATCTGAGACGTAGAATTTCTTCACCACATTGAGATCTGTCAATTCTACGTCTCAATTTGCTGAAATTTTGAGTAATGAATACGAAATAGAAGTCAGAAAATTTTGTGAAAAGTTGGTACTGATTTCCCTCGCTCTTTGAAACGCCTGCTTATGAACAAGTTTTGGAGAGTACCAAAATATAAAGTGAAAACAATATTAGTTTATGGAGCATTCTGGCTATTCAATGGGTATTTCTCAGGATCGTCCATCCCTGTCCGATATTTCTCAAGATCGTCGTTCGAGAAATATTATTATTCCAAAGGAGGGAAAGCAATTCCATTGGTCGATTTACCTTTGACCAATGGAATTGCTTTGGAATAATAATATTTCTCGATGGACGATCTTGAGAAATATCGGATAGGGATGGACGATCCTGAGAAATACCCCTATTCAATTGCATGGCTGACACGTGCTCGCTAAACGACGACAAGTCAGTGTCGAGAATGCCAGTACGGTTCCAGCAGTTCACAACAGTTGACCGTGACACTGAGCGCCATGCATCCTTGGCCCACGCGGTACCAGAGGTACCTCATACAATCTGTCCTGACGGCCATCCATCAGAGCATCAATCTGCTCAAGTGCGTTCTGTAGCTGGCGTTGTTTCACCTTGGCCTTGAACGAAGCGATGATTCCAGCATCTTGGGGCTGCAGGTGGGACGTCGTATTCTTTGGAAGCATCCTGACCTTGACGTTCGTGTACATAGAGAGATTCGTCGTCGGGCTTGTGTGGCGGCGCGTTGTCGACCAGCAGCAACACCTTCCGTTCCTCGGCCACCATGCGCTCATTCAGCGCCAGTAGGTACGTGTTGAAAGGGTTGCCCGTCATCCAACCCTTTTTGCTGGCCTTGTAGTCAAAGCCCAAGGCCTCGCCCGACAACCCGTTGAAGCACCGTGGCCGCGCCGCCGTCCCGATCAACAGAGGGTCAACGACATCCGACCCATCCGCGTTCGTGGTAAGTGCAATGGTGATCCT